ACTAAAGTGTGGCTTACCTGGTTGCCAGTTGGTACCTATGTGTGACCTGCCAAAGTAGAATTAACCTCTCTACTTCTTTTTTATCTATTTCAAATAAGAGATCTATAGTTTATTAGCCTGGATCTATAGCCTGTTATGATCTTTTCTTAGTTATTATTCCACCAGGACTATTTACCAGTTTCTACCCAATTGTTGACTTCTTCTACTACTATATCTAGTTTTTCTCTAAAATCATTCCACCATTTTTCTCTATTATCATTATTACTACTGTATTATTACTATTATTATTATTTTTCCCTCCAATGTTTTTCTCTGCTATTGGGCAGTTTTACAGCTCTTTCCTTTTCCTTGGATTGGGCTTCTTCTAGGTGTTTTCACTTTTTTTCCTTTTTTGCTTTTTGATTAATTTGAAGTTTTTTTTCCCAGGTTAATACTTCATTGCAATACTATATTCATATTTCTTCTTAGAAGAAGAAGTGCCACTTGTCCCACTACTCGAGTATTATAGCTTCTAGTATTTTCTTTGAAATAAACTCGGCTTTTAGTATAGGTGCTAAATCCATTTCAATAAATTCTTTTGCCATTTCTTTTCTTCTTTAAATCTGGTTCTTTTTCTCTTGTTTTACTAGAATTTGTTAAAGAGTTGTATATGAGATCTTTTCTTTTATTTGGGAATTTAGGTTCTCTCAAATTTCTTTAGTGATTATGTATTCTTCTTTTAGCCACCTTGCTTTATTTGCTTTATATGTTGTTAAATAGTTAAAGTTTTTCTTTTATTGTAAGCACTTTTTGCAAATTGCTAAGAGATAAAAATCTTCTCAATTTCTTTTTTGAAATTGAAGTATAGAAAGTAATCTACTTAGGCTTTTAAGTTAGAAGCTTTATTTTTTGTTAGTTTTAAAGAATTTTCCTTTTTCTCTTCTTTCTTTTTCCTACAACTTTCAGAAAATTTTTCAGTCCTGGTTTGTGACTCTTTTCTAGCAGATCTTATCCTTTAGATTTTGGAAGAATAGCCAGTCTACTTTGTGGAATATGTAGATTATTTTTTTAAAAAAGCTATGAATTGAAGTTTCTATTATTTGGTTTTTTTATATTGGACTAAAAGTAATATCTTGGGTTTCATTTGTGCTAAATATTATTGTTTCTGATTCCTATATATCTTTCTTTGCTGCTCTGTTTACAAGGTTATTTAGAATATTCCCAGTATGTGTAGTGATGCAAATAGCTTGACCCAAGCCAAGAGCCAAACGACTAAGCCGAGCCAATTAACAGCTTGGCTCTGGGTATATTAATAAAGTATCAGCTCTAAAAACAGCTTAGCTCTAGACCCTTAAAGCTGATATGGAGCTGAGAGCCAAATAATTAGTATCACATGACCATCATCCAATAGTAAACGATTAACGATTCTGTAATTTTATTTGATAGTTCAGTGTTATAATGCAAATTCTGCGAGTAATTATTTAAATATCATTTTTACTTTATTTAATTAATAAAGAACGAACCAAATTCTAAAAGATTCATCTTGACACTGCACTTTTTTTTCTATTTTTTTTAACTGAAAACTCTTCAAAGATCTCTAAAAGTTATACTCGATTTTTTGCAAAAATTCTATTAAAGTTTCACTTGTATTTATTAGGTCTAATTTTATTTATTTTAACTAATAAAATTTAAATAATTTATAAGATGAATGTCCAAATTTTATACATTAGTAGAAAATAGTGAAGCATAACTTTATTCTCCCTTTTATAAGTTACTTGTAAAAATTTCAAGGTAATTCCTTGGGGTTTCAATGGTAGAATCATTTTAAAATCGATTAATATATTCATAATGATAATTAAATTAATTATTACTTGCATACTATGAAAAATCTGTATTATATCAAATTCCAAAGTTTGCTTATATAGTTTTGATTTACTTAGTTAAGTTACTACCCTAAGGTAACAGACAAACATTCTGCTAAAAAAAAGGTAAATTGTGCGCTATTTCTAAACTATATATCAAATGCTAGCTAAATAGATAATCGGATCAGGCTTGATATTAATTAAAGGCTGTGTTGCTAAAATTTAATAGCAACTATTTTAATACTTGATATGATTCGATTTAATAACAGATTGTTAAATATAAGTGAAGTTCAAACTGGGCAGTAATATATCATCTCAAACACAATTTATTTGCATATTGAACTACTAAATTTTATTTAAAAAAAATAAAATAAAATAAAATAAAAAAATTGAAATAAAAAATTGAAATTCTACTTAATAAATACTTTGCCAAATAGATGCATCTAGCTAGTTTGCTAAAAATTCATCAGTGTTTATTCTCATATATTTACAGAAATCATTTATGCTATTAACCAGTTGTCACATAGTATGATATACACTCTCCATGTTCTTTTTAACCATTCGCACTTATATGATTTGATTTAAATAACAGATTGTTAAATATGAGTTAAGTTCAATAAAATATAAACCGGAGCAGTAATGTGTCGTAACTAACACTATTTATTTGCATATAGAATTTATTAAAAAAAAAAAAAAAAAAAAAAATTGGAATTCTACTTAACAAATACTTCGCCAAATCAGATGCATCTAGCTAGTTTGCTGAAAATTCATCAATATTTATCCTCTCATATTCATGGAAATCATTTGCGCAATATTAACGAAGTTGCTGAAAATCTACTGCCAATTTGAGTACAATGAGCTGACAATCAAGCTAGTTTAACCATGGTTTTGAAACTTTAGCCATGGCTTTAAAACTTTAACCATGGTTTTGAAGCAGAGCAACCTCAAGCCGATAATAACTGGCTTGAGAAGTTAATGTTAAGCCAGCTTGATTGTTAGCCAATCTATCTTTATTTTTGATGCTATAATTTATGTAAAAAAAAAAAAGATTAGATCTTTCTTTCAAAAAATAAAAAAAAAGTAAAATAAAATCTTACGCATAGCCTCAAGATCCAATTCTAAGTGCTGAAAATTTCTCTGTATAGATTTTTATTTAGTTTACTATTAGTAAGTATAAAAAGGTTCAAAATTTTATTTGCCCAATTTCATATTTATTCCCAATTTCATATTTATTTAAAATTTTACTTACAATTGTTATAATGAATAGTGATATTGATGATCTTTATGATACTGACGTTCTTAATACTCCTATTTCTAAGTCTCAGGATGTTTTACAACTTTCTGATGATGATGTGACTACAAGTACTACTACTATGAGTAATAGTAATACCGCATTCAATATTCTTGTTACTTCACTTACCCCTATTATTTCAAAAAAAAAAAAAATTTTAAACCTAGATCCTCTGTTTCAACTTATTTTTCACAAAAAACTATTAATAACAAAATGGTAATTTGTAGTTTTTGTAAGAATAAATTTAGTATAACTACGGCAACTGGTACATTACATAAACACCTTAACTCTCAGCATCCAAGCTGGAATACCACTAAGCCACCTTCAAGTCAACAGCTTCTTACTTTTACACCTGAAATGACAATTTCAAATCAAATTTTAACACCAGCTCAAAAAACTAAACTTCATATATTAGTTGCTGAATGGATTGTATCAGATACATTACCTTTTTCGATTGTTTCAAGTGAATCATTTGCCACTATGCTTCAATATCTCAATGCTAATGTCGATTTACCTTCTTGTGAAACTATAAAGTCTACTATTCAAAGTGCCTTCGTCATAATGCAAAAAGATATTAAAATTCTTTTGGAACAAGTTTTTAGTAAAATCTCCATTACATTAGATATTTGAACCTCTCATGCTAATGTGCCATTTTTTTGCGTTACTGCACATTGGATAGATAATGAGTGGAAACTTAATAAAATTTTACTTGATATTTGCATGCTCCCCCATCCCCATACCAGTGAAGAAATTAATACACGATTGCGTTCTGTCTTTGCAGCTTTTAATATTACTAATTAAATTCTTTGTGCTACTACTAATGGTGGTTCTAACATGATCTCGGCAATGCAATTGCTAAAGAGGAATCTTATGTTACAAAATCATCTTTTTCATATTCAACCTCGTCGCTATTTAGCTCATATACTAAATCTTATTGTCATGAGTGGTTTATCACCTATCAAATCATCAGTTAAAAAGGTGCGTAACTTGGTTAATGCTATCTCTGCCTCATAATCTCTAACTCAGGAATTAAATGAGCTTGGGCAATCAGTTGGAGAAGGCGAAGCTACTCGTAAAATTCCACAGGATGTTTCAACACGGTGGAACAGTACATATCTAATGCTTTCAGTCTATGTAACTATGCCTACAACAATTGCAGCTCTTATTAGATGCAATAAGAATCTTAATAAATATAAACTTACGCCACAAGAAGAATCTAATCTTCAAGCCACAACACAATTTCTTCAACCATTTTACGAAACCACTAATATTTTTTCTGGCAGCACATATACGACATTAGGCATTTCGATTCTACTAATCGATGACATTGTTGATACTATTTCATCATATATTCAAAATTCAACAAGTTTAGAATTCCTAGAAGTAGCTGCAACCCAAATGTCAAATAAAATTCAAAAGTATACTAATGATAAAACAGCCTTTATGGCTGCTATTCTTAACTCCCAAATTAAACTAGAGCTAATACCAGATGATATAAATACTGAAGCAAATCGTGCTATTTTTAATAACATTTTTAGAACAGAATATTCTGCACTTTCTCTTAATAATTCGTCTACTAATTCAGAAATATTAAATTTATCATATACAGAAAAAATTGCTCAAAAAAAAAGAAAAACAAATATAATCAATAATAGGACGGATGAATTTAACCAATACTTATCTGAAGCTATTACATTTATGAACATTGATTCTTTGAACTAGTGGAAACTCAATTATACACATTTTCCTAATCTATCTAAAATGGCTAAAAATTATTTAGCCATCCAGTCTACTTCAGTACCCTCTGAACAGGTTTTTTCCAAAGCAGGCAACATGATTTGGGCTAAACGTTCACGGTTATCTGATAAGAGCCTACAAGCTCTTATGTGTATTAATTCTTGATTGAAACATGGTATTAAGTTTCGTAGAGAATAATTACAATTAAGTACATACTGTATATACAAATAAATTCATTAAATTTAATTGTTCAACCTATCTTGTAGCTAACAAAAAAAAAAAAGTACTTTTGTTAGCAACAAATACAAATAAAATATTTATTTTAATAGATTTAAAAATAAATTAACTTATCTTAGTATTGAATTGGATAGTTATAAATTTTGTTGTAATTTAAGATCACATTTGAATCGCTTATTATCTATTTGTTCAATTAAGATTAGCTGATTTCAAGTTAAAGTTGGCCTAAGTTATAATTAGTATTAACTTACCGTAATTCTATACCTTTTACACTTAAGACTACCATTACACATTAGAAAATTTTCAAATAGATGACAATTACCTTGCAGTTGATAATTGATTTCTACTCTATTTAAAAATTTCCCAATATGCTCAAGACAAGTTTATATTTTTAGTGCATGATTTTTTTTTCCCTCTTTAAAAAAAAAAAAAGACTCATGAACAAATTCGCACACTTGGTTATAATTATCAAATTCGATCATGTTGTATAGATAATTTTAAATATTAGAATTCATGTTTGTGTCTGATTGGATAGTTTCCTTATATAGAGTAGCAGCTCGGCTCAGCTCGAGGTTAATCAGCTCATAAACGGCTTGGCTCTGATATTTGGAGCTGAAAGATTGGCTCAGCTTAGTCATGCAAGCCATTAGCCAAGCCGAGTCAAGCCGTTTGCATCACTAAGTATGTGCTTTTACTTTGATAAGGTATATCTCAATATTTTTAGTTATAAGGTTTTTAGCTATTGCTCCAAGAATGCTTGCATTTTTAGTTTTACACCAAGATCTTGTATTTTTGGTTTTCTAAAGTCTCTCTATTGCTTGAATGGCTGCTTAGCTATCTGTATAAATGCTTATTTTACGGTTGTTCAGAGAGACTAAGGTCATTTCAAGTATAGCTACTAGTTCTAATCTAGTTGAAAAAAACTACTTCTGAATTTTGCCCTTTAGCTCTCTAATTATATTACTCTTATTATCTATTTGAATTACTCTGTATCTAGCTCTATAGTCTTCTTTTCTTTCTTCTTCAAGTGAGCCATTAGTGTTAAATATTAATTCTCTAAGTTTTTGGTTTTCTCTAACTGCACCTACTAGTTCCTGTTATTTGCTAATATTTACTATTGTATTCTTTTTTTTTTTTTTTTTTTAATATTAAGGTGACTACTTAGGTTCCCGGCACTTAGCTTTATTCAGTAATTATGATATTACATCAATTTCATGAGGATACAACTAGCTACACATGTACTTTTGGTACCTAATTTAAGTAGTCTGCCTGGGTTCTACACTAGCCACCATACCTGCAACCTAACTAG